ATTATGCTGAAGCTTCATTACTGTAGACCTCCTTGAGGTCGACGGCTATAGTAGATGACGTCATATTCTGGATTCGGTGAGGGCAGTGGTGGATGGCCTGTCTGTACTTATAGACGAACATCCAGGGAATATTTTGCCGAGGAACTTTGGTCAGAAAAAAGGGCCGAAGTTCGACATGGGCAAAATGTATTTTTTTATGTCTCTTCCCCCCCCCCCCCCCACGCATTTCCTTTCCTACTCGTTTATGTCTCAAACTGTAAACAATGCCTTACTGGAGCCCGCTCGAGGAAGTCGGTTAGTAACTGTTCAATAGATGGTGCAGGTTTACCTTTATGAATCTTTTCAAACGTTTCGCATGCGTGAACTGTTGTCCTCGGGTCCGTTTAAAACAAATTCGTGAAAATTGGACATGAAGTTTCAAGGTATAAATTGCATTTTTGTTTTATTCATTTATTCATTTATTTTTGAACCCATACTTTCAGGTGGGTGCCGTCTCAATGGTTCTGTCAGTTGGCTGCCACTGCAAGAAAAGAAGGCCGGATTCACGATGATCTTCATCTGAAGTCGCTAATAGATGTAAGCGGTTTCTTCTGTCTTCTATGTAATTTTCAAAACGTTTTCGAGTTTAGGACTGCCTTGAGTATCGTGGTCAATGTGGAATGATTTGGTCATATGACTGGATATCGGTCCCACTAGTATACACACAGGTACCTATTCTTAACCGTTTGTAGACTGAGTGGATATTATATCTACGATTTCGACAAACTCCTATTTTAGTTTTTAGGTTGTAACGATAGCGGTGTACAGTTTCTTTGTTGCGTGCTTGTTCGGAAGGCAGTTTTTGCTCTCAGAGGTAACCACTTTTTTCAAAGCCCACTGTTGAAAAAAGTAGAAAATTTAGGTTGTAGCCCCAAGTCAATGAAATTTTAGAACACATAATTGGAGGCACCATTCCGCGTCTACGCCTTTACCTGAAACATGCGCCGCCTATCGCATTCTCTTGTCGGAGGGATGGAACAGAGTCAACCCTGCGTTGCGCAGTTCGCAACGGCACGTTGAGAGATCCTCAACGCACGCTGTATGGGCGGAGACACAGACGGCTCGAGCATGCGAGTGTGAATGTTCGCGCGAGAGAACGTGTCTAATCGGGCGAAACTGCGCAACGTGGCCGTTGAGAACTGCGCAACGCAGGGTTGACTCTGGGCTGAGGGTCAGTCAGTCATATCAGTCGTGAAGTGCTTTAGGTGATCCTTCGTCATTTTTTTGCTAAGGAGGCGCAGGATAGTAATCGCAATGCTGCTTATAGAGCCTGAATACTGTTACCTCCTGCCACAGTCATACAGTGGGAGCATCTATTCTCTCCAATTATGAGGTTGAGGGGGCGAGAGATGAGATGTCAGATCACCACTGCTTCTGTCATTGATTCAGCTCATGTTTTTGCAGAGCAACCTTACAATTACAATCCGATTTAATTAGTAAATGAACTGTAACTAGATATATTGTTATAGTAGGCAGAAATATTAATGTCTCCAACGAGCTGATTAATTACAGGATGCTAAAGTTCCTGCAGCGCATTCGATTGACTTTTATGTGCCCATATTCTCGATGTTCCAATTCTTCTTCTATGTTGGATGCGAAAAGACGAGTCGATGATTTGTCCTTGAGAGGACGATGCACGACTCGATAAACGTAATATAGATTCCTTTGTTCATAATCGAAAACGTCCATGATTATGGGTTGTGATCGGAAATCTCACGAAGGAGCTCCTGATTGTGAGTCTACATGTGACACACCCACTCCTACCAGATTATCTTGATTCTGTAAGCGCAGAATTGCCGTATACACAAGGATCCTCGAAATATCGCGCGGGTCCATTTGTTGGATCGACGATGGCGATGGAGTTTGTCGGTTTCCTTATAAATCTTTGAACCAATTAGAGGTATAGCTGTTTTGCGAGCATATCCGGTCAGGACGCCGAATGGGAGGTGGATCAAATGCCGGCCATCACTGAGGAGGATTGCAAAGGCTCAAAAAAGACAAGCTTTTCGCGCGACGACGATGTTGATAGCGTGTACAGTCGGCAAGTCATGCAATATAAACATTGTACTCCCATGCTCGGACTGGTGCATCTCTTCATTAGCAAGCTATTTTCAAAGAAGGTATGATCGACGTCATCGTAAAAGACTTGGCGCTCTATTACTGGGTTATTCTCGCCAAACGCTCTCCTCGCGGTTTGGCTCCCGTAAGAGTGTGAATTCGGTCCCGTCGAGGTCAGAATTGAGCTTCTTTCCATTTTTTCTTTTGTCCTTTTTATTGATCTGTGGAAATTTGGAATTTCAGAACAATGCGCCGATCTCGCCCCATAAAACTCACTTGCGGACATAAACTTTAATAGTCCGCGACATGAATTTGTCCAATTTTTGAGATTGACGAATCTTCCTGTTTTAAAGTGGCTCGCAGGAAAATAAAGAAATCAGGTAGCTTATCATTGCATATATCACTGGGTCAATGAAACCACCACATTTTCGTCCTCAACCGGTCTGCACCGGCGAGTAAATCTCAACAAGTCAGCTTCTCGTTCTCATAGTTAATTCTCAACCTCCGTTGAGTAACCTGAAGACCTCGCAATGTGGGTAAAACATTCACTTTCTTTGCCAAAAATGCCCTTTGCATTTAAAGCAGCATTTCCAGTAGGGCGCCATACTTTCGAGCTATAAAGGTTTGGAATGATGCACTAGCCCCAATTAGAATATAGGAAGTGCCACTAATTAAAAAACTCGCCTTGGAAAGCCACAAGGAGGATCCTGAACATGTGGCAACACCTCAATTCTTCCTAATCCTTGTCTCCGCCGACTTCCTAGCCGTCGAATAGCGGGTTTGGCTGAGACATGTGCGATCGTTTCGGGACTACAGAGACTGTTTGAACTCGGTCCTCCAAACCGTCCAATGCTCCCGCGTGCGCTGGAATTCCGAATGTTTCTTGAATAAACGTGTGCCGCTTTTTGTCTCAGAAACTGTGATGTTCGGAAGCTATATGTTTCTTCCGAGTAATGGAAATCATTTGCAGGTCAGTAATAAAGGCTCTTGACAAGCAAGATCGCACAACTCTTCTGGTCCTTCCCTTCCCATTTTGAGGGGGAACAAAGGGTGACTTTGTTTAGGGGATTTATCGGCAGTCATCCCTCTTTCGTTTTCATTTTCAGTCGACTCTGCATTCACAAATTCATTATTGAGCTTTTCCCGCGAATCATTGCTTGAAAGCAACAATCCAAGAACGAATTCGCGGGCAAAACCACCTATAATGAAGTTGTGGGTGAAAAGTTGACCATAATGAAAGAAAAGTAAAAAAAAAAACGTCGAACAGGGTCTTAGACAGGGACTCCCCCTCTGCCGCTTAGCATGGGGGAAGACGCGTGTTGGACGAGTTGCCTGAACCTGCCCGCAGTTTCCAATCCAGATGGCTTGTGTAGCGGCAAAGCACTGCTGAAAAAACCATGCTAAAGAAACGTCACAAAATGTTGCAAATGCATAATCATGTCGCAGCTTAGCAAAAAATTCTGTCATTTTCATCCCCGTCTCCCCCTCCCCTTCCCCATACGAAATACACTGGGGCCGCTTGTTGAAAGTGGGAATGATGATGGAAATCGAAAAAAAACATTCGCGAAGAAATCCAATTCGAATGAGTGACCAAAACGTACGCGCTCTAAGCATGATCGACATTGATTTTTAAAGGATTGACCTCAAATAGTCCCGGTGGTCCCGAAATGACCGCAAATGTCTGCGCAGCCAATCACGCACTCTCCACAACTGAAGTGGGCGGCCGTACCGAGGCTCGGTGGACCCGCCCACTTCGAAGGCGTTAGACCCCCTTCCAACGCCTTTCAAAGGTAAGTTTTCAAATCAGTGACATTTCCTATGTACTTGACTAGGGCTAGTGCATGTTTCCACCCCTTAGGATCGAATGGTTGAAACCCTGCTTGGACTGTTGCTTAAACTGTGCGCTATTGTCGGCGGTGCCCGAGGCATTAATTGGCGATCTTCTTCAATTTGTCGCGACCTCCAAGCGCTATCTAACGATAAACATAGCTTTGAGCTTCACTGTATAGCAGGGAATGTAGGCGCCGTGAATTCTCTGTAAATAAAAACAGATCAGCCTGGAGATGAGAGATATGCACCACCTCCTCCCGCTCTGCGCCGGCGCCGGGTCAACTTGTCCATACCCTCTTCCCAAAGGGATGGGAGATTGAACTGAAGACGTCGT